ACAATGACTGTTAATGCTACCACTTTCGCCACCAAGAAGACCACTTGGACTCTTACAGCAACCCGAACATTCAAGACGTTGACTATTGCAACAACCAGAACACACAGAACTGCAGCACATTTCACTGCCAGCGTAGGAGGCACACATTCTGCGTAAAAGGGGGCCATGGCATACTCTGCAATGCTGATCGCCATCGCCGCAACGCTGCAAGGCTTCACAACCAGGATGACGGTGACTGCTGCAAAGAACGCGGGGAAGGAACCATAGATCCGCAGGATATAGATGAACTCCCCACCAGATTCAGGAATGATTGTCCCGATCTCTGTGTAGGACAGAGCTGCAAGCATAGCCACAATTCCTGAGACAGCCCAGATCAGCAGACTTGTTCCAGGGCTTCCCACATAGCTCAGAATAAACTGTGGGGACATGAATATCCCAGATCCGATCATAGTTCCAGAAATTATTGCGACACCACCGATCAACCCAATCTGCCGCTTCATTCTAAGAGCTTCAAATTTTTTGTCCGCCATGGCCTCAGGGATCAAACAGCATCAAATGAAGGAACAAGACACTTTTGCAGAGCAGACGGCAAAAGATCAAGAAGTAGTCCGAGAACTAGCCTGTGCTCTGTACAATGACAAGTAAAACAATAAAGGCCAAGGGGGAGTAGTTTAGAACTGCTCCATATAGATCACCTGATAAGTTACATGCTGGACTTGCAAATTGTTTTACAAGGTTTGATCATAGTATTAGCTCCGCAAACCCTGGCAGCATTCCAGATACATCACATCATGATTGTGTGTTTTACAGTTTAGTGCGAAACTGGGTGTCAAGTACAGGGAGCCTGGCTGCTCTTTATAAGACACAAGCTGCCCTGAAAACATGATCTGGGAAATATTGCTATTTTTGCCAGACATTTCTATTTGTGACATTTGGTTATAACTGATGTATGATCCATGTAGGAGGGTAATTAATCACTGATTTGGATGTTGCTACAATATCATAAACCCTACTCATTTTAAAGATCCCATACTGTGCCCCTTTTCAACAAATTAATCAAAGTCTCACTTGTCCCCACAGTGTGTCTTTCAGTTTTTCAGCTCAAAATACTGCAGAAGTGCTTCATTTTACCATGACCTCCATCGGAGGTTATAACATAAATAGCATACGTTATGCAGATGACACAGTGCTGATAGCGAACAGTGAAAGAAAACTTGCAGATCATAGTATCCATAATTGATACAGAGAGCCAAAAACTTGGTCTGTCTTTAAACAAAACGAAAACAGAAGTAATGGTAATTTCAAAGAAAAATGTCATCCTAACCTGTAAGATAAAATTAGACCAAGAAATACTGAAGCAGGTTTATCATTTCAAATATGTCTGTTTATGGATGACATCAGATGGGAGATCCATCCATCCATCTATTATCTATACACCGCCTAATCTTCACTAGGGTCGCGGGGGGCTAGGGTCTATCCCAGCTGACTTAGGGCGAAGGTACAGGACACCCTGGACAGGTCACCAGTCTATCACAGGCACTTAGAGACAGACAACCAAGCACACTCACATTCACACCTATGGACAATTTAGAATCACCAATTAACCTCAACATGTGTTTGGATTGTGGGAGGAAGCTGGAGAACCGAGAGAGAACCCATGCTGCACGGGGAAAACATGCAAACTCCACGCAGAAAGATCCCGGGTGTTCTCACCGGGACGCGAACCGTTAACCTTCTTGCTGAGAGGCAACAGTGCTAACCGCTGAGCCACCTTGCAGCCCACAGCAAGAACAGCATTTATGAAAATGAAAAATATACTGATAAATAACAGCAATTAGCATCCGTATGAGAACTCTCAGCTGTTATATTCTACCAGTTCTGATGTACAGATGTGAATCTTGGAACGTAAATAATAAAATGTCAAACAAAATCACTGCAGCAGAGATGTGGTTTTACAGACGCATGCCATGTCTATCTTATAAAAACAGAATAAGCAATGAAGATGTTTTAAAGTGACTAAACACAAATGATACACTATCAAACATAATTAGGGAACGGCAAGCAACTTTTTCTGGACACATCGTAAGGAAAGAGACCCTGGAATATATTGTCACAACTGGAAAAATTAATGGGAACAGAGGACGAGGCATGGAACGGCCAACAGTCACAATTCAGAAAGCAAAAGATCAGATTAGATGGAGAGAAATGATTGCCTACGCTGAAAGGCATGGCACTTGATTGATTGACTGATTACCATGAGTATATGGGAGGCTAACTGGCTGTGGGGGGAGCCTTGAGGAACGTCAGAGGTAAATGTCTTTATATCTAAGTTTTTACTTTACACCTCCAAGTTTGTAACAACCACAAAACACAATATAAATGGATTTTCACCATGGTGGACCTTTGTGGTAAAGATAGCCAAAAAACAACCCAAAAACAAAACAAAACAAAAAAAAACCTGTCCTGATACCAACTGCTATAAAACAAACAGAAGAACAAAGCTAACTCTCTGTGGTGCTGAATGTAGGCAGCAGCAATTCATCTGTTGTTTTACTCTTATTGTTCAGGTTTTATCAAGATAAATACTGATAAATCAAAATGTCATATATGTCGATTCAACCAACATATTGATACAAGTAAATTTTGAAAATCTTACTTCTGGATGTTTCAGCTCCTCAGTGAAATAATTCAGATTGTTTCAGCCATCATAGGCCCACAAGCCCAGATAGAAAGCCGTGGATATGGAGCTGGCGTCAGCTTTTGTTCCTTCAAAAGAGTTGACAAAGTTCTCTGTGCAACCGTGAAAAAGCATCACAATGCCTCCCATCGTGATCATTGCCAGTGCCATGAAAACCACCTGGATGATGGTGGCCAAGCGAGTGCCCAGACAGTTGGCTATGGCAGCCAATAAGATGGCTCCTGTGGCCACAGATTTCACTGCCAGCTGTGGAAGGGGGCAGCCGTCGTAAAACAGGGCCACAGCGTAATCAGCAAAGCTCAGGGCAATTGCTGTGGCACTGGCAGGCCTGATGATTTTGATGAAGCTGAAGATAAACATGAAGGCGAACACTTCCCCACAACTGTGCAGCATGTAGACATACTCGCCTCCTGACTCTGGTATGGTCATGCCCAGTTCGGCAAAGCAGAGTCCCCCCAGCATGGCTATCAGCCCGCTGACGGCCCATAGGGCTGCCAACATGGAATAAGATATGCTTGGGAGAGGTGAAGATCCCAGATCCAATCATGGTTCCAGCAATAAATGACACAGCTTCTATTAACCCCACTTCTCTTCTCAGACTGAGTTTCTGTTTGTCACCTTCCATCACTGCAGATCGCTTCCTCAGAGAGATTCCTAATTATATAAACTGCTAGCTGTAACTCAACTCAGGCCCTCAAAGATTTTTTGGAAATGAAGCGTCCTGTCCTTTAAACTGTTGTGTTCTTCAAGTTGATATGAGGAGCAGCACAGATCTCTGACACATAAAATGTTACTCACAGGCTACTTGTTGGTAGACTGTTGTTCCATCCTGCATGAAGTGTACCACCCTGGTTATTCCCTGGATAATCAGTATCCAAGTATCATCATCCTTTTTAGTTTTTAGTAAACTGTTAATGAAACAGTGACAGAACTAGAGAAAGAAATCTATATCCTCTTTCAACTGGTTCTCTGCTAGATTTGGAATTCAGTTTATGATTTTGCTTCTATTTTATAAGCTCTGTGTAGGTAGTTATAGTCTAATGTTGATATATGAACCATTTTTGAGGCCCAGAGATTTAAATAACGGCAAACATCTGTACAATAATAATATCTTTAGTAGATTTAAATAAATGAAAACACTATAATGCTACGGCAACACAATATGAAAAAACAAATAGCCATTTAGAAAAAATGTATACAATAATAATAACAATAATAATAAAGATTTTTGATCTGTTTTTTGTTTTGTTTTTTACAGTCAACCTGAAAATACTACCTTTTTTTCTGTTATTATCTTTATAATATCTGTAATTAAACAACAGAGAAAATCTGCAAATAACAGTTAAAAAATACTACTTTTTTCAGTGCTTAATACACAGAATTTTACTTTCCTACAGCATCAAAAATGTGTAAAACAATAATTTTTTGCTGATTTGAAGACAGTGAATATATTGTCATTTTACTGTTTATTGATGTAAAATAAGGACACCCGGGATCTTTCTGTGTGGAATTTGCATGTTCTCCCCGTGCAACATGGGTTCTCTCCGGGTTCTCTGGTTTCCTCCGACAGTCCAAAAACATGTTGAGGTTAATTGGTGATTCTAAATTGTCCGTAGGTGTGAATGTGATTGGTTGTCTGTCTCTAAGTGTAGCCCTGTGATAGACTGGTGACCTGTCCAGGGTGATAATGGGTGAATGGACATTACTTATATTTTTGACCTCTTTTTTTTTTTTAGGGTTAAAATGTCAATTAACGTGTTTTTTCAGTGATTTCACCAGAAATAATCTGTAACTAACCCAACAAGAGAAAATCTATAGAGTACATAATTTTAACACTATTTTTTTTCAGTGTAGCAAAAACTCTGTAGCAGCCCTCACACCACTTCTTGAAACTCACGTTTTCTTACATTGTCTGTTATATATTTTGTGCTCTTCATTGTTTTACTGTAATATTCTGTGTTATTACCTGTAAATTTTATTTGTAAGCACATTAATTTAGACTTTTTCTGTTTACTTCATTGATTTAACTGTTAGGCACATTGTATTGTTCAGAAAAGTGCTATAAAAATGAATCTTTCTTTTTTAGGGGCAGTTGTCTCAGCAGGCTGGATCAGTGAGAACAACAGCTTCCGAAGGACCTTGTAGGGATTTGTGTGATATCAGCGAGGACCTTCCTTTCCAGTGTCCAGCTCAACCAGGTATTCTTATAAGACAGACTAAATACTGTTTTCTAGTTTTTGATGACTGCTCATTTGTATAAGCCTTTAATTACATCTTTGCTACAAATGACCTACCTACCACACTGACTCATCTTTGTGGCAAGATGATGAATTTGAAGACAGATCACCATGACTTTTCTTTTTTAAGTTACCCCATGTTCAAACAGAAGCAGGTTGTCCAAGTCGAACCATATACAGTAAAATGGTTGTTGGAGTCACTTTGTTCTGTCTCAATTTCCCTGCAACGGCTTGTAAGCTTCCAAGTGTGCTAGGAAGCCAGGAGAGAATTCATGTTCTCATGAACATGATGGCTTTTGCAGTTAAGCCCAACATTGTTCATACCCATGCTAACTTGTACGAGGCCAGCTGATTTCTTCTGGCTGGAAATGACTTCAACAAGTGACAAAAGATGGCAACACATTTTGTGTTAGAGATGTTAATGATGGATTTTGGAAGTCATGGTTAAATCACAGTGCCAAAGAGTTCCACACTGTGAGAACGCAATGGGCACGGTGGGAAGCCAAGAGTAACAGCTACGTTGGCAAGAAGAGTAGTGAGAGGTCAAGAAAAATGTCAAGATGACCACCAAGGTCACCCTGATGAAACTAGGTAAATCAAGCTTTTTTTTCTCTTTTTTTTTTTAAGAAAAAAAATACACATAACTAGTTACAATTTATTTTTAACATCGCTGCAGAACTTGCCATCTTTTGTCACTTGTTTAAATCATTTCCAAAATTCATAAAGCAAAATTTGGCATGGGTATGAATAATTTGGGGCTTCGTGGTCAATGCCATATATGTCAACATCTTTGAAACGATTTGGTCTCTAATGTGAAGGTAAGTATGCATGATATTACATGTTTGTTGATAATACATATATAAGATATATGCACCATTTTTTTTCCACCTAACCGCAGACAACATCAAGATTTTCCTGTAGTGGAATTAACAAACTATTAAAAAATAAAGTTAAAATAAAGTTACATATAAAACTAACCATATTTATTTTCACATAACACTTGAATAACAAAAGTATAAACTTTCAGCCTGACAGGTGTTATCTGTCTGATAATGTTCATTCTGTGTTGACGCAAATATCTAATTTTAAAGCCTTTATCAGCAGATACCGATAATGTTATCACTGTTCATTGCTCGTTTTATGTGTTTTTTATTTCCCATATAAACCACTAATAGATTATTTAAATGGCTTGTTACTTTGCTGCTATCTCCTGACGTGTAGGGTGAGCATAAATCACCCTACACGATATAAATGAAGTCCACGGCTTAGCTGAGGTGAAATTTAAAACACTTTTTTTATCAAGATTCCAGCTGGCATGGTTTGAACACCTGGGTAGGCAATAACTAAAATAAATCCTGTTCTTCACGTGTATCTGTTACTTATTTATTGTGGGTGACTGTGTGGAGGGCAGCCAGTGTCAGAGTGTCATGGACAGTCTATTCTGAAGTGCTTATTGGTCTTACTTAACAAGTTCAGTGCAATAATCAGTTAAAAAAAACAAAACCCTTGCACCCTCTGACTTACCTCTGGACGTTTCAACTCTTCAGTCACATAATTCAGATTGTTCCAGCCATCATATGACCACAGTCCCTGGTAGAAAGCAATGCCAATTGGATGGATGCCCACATTAGTGTTCTCAAAGGAGTCTTCAAAGCTTTCAGTGTGCCCTCTGATCAGCATCACCAGGCCTCCTATTATGATGACTGCCAGGGCCAGAACCTTAGCCACCATAAAAAACACTTGGACTGACATTGAAAAGCGAACATTTAGGCAGTTCACGGTGCCCAGTACCAAGATAGCAGCTGCAGCCACGCACTTCACCACTAGCACCGGAGGAGAGCAGCCTTCGTAGAAAGGAGCCACGACATACTGAGCAAAACTCAGCGAGATGCCTGCAATGCCGGCAGGTCTCACAAACAACACCGAGCTGAAGATTAGCATGAAGGCGACGACTGGACCTGAAGTCCTGAGGATGTAGATGTACTCTCCCCCCGATTCACGTATAACGGTGCCCAGCTCAGCATAGCAGAAAGACGCCAGTATCACCAGCACTCCACAGCACGCCCACACCACCAGGCTGGCTCCAGGGCTGCCGATGGTGGAGAGCACCGTCTGCGGGGACATGAAGATCCCAGATCCAATCATCGTCCCTCCAATGAGGGACACGGCTCCCACCAGCCCTACTTCTCGCTTCAGGCTGAGCTTCTGCGGCTCGTCGTCCATCGTCCTGACAGTTTACAGACCATCTACTGTCTGACACCTTTACTGTGGAGAAAACACTGCAATTCTGTGGCCAAAGTCAACTCACATAGTTAATAATTATGTGGGTGGTTCATACCGCTGCCTGTTTTGCCTGGTGCCTTATCTATATTAACGAGGATTGGTGTTTTAGGTGAAGGTCACATATCACAGATGTGCTCTTTTTTTTATGTTTCTGGAAGTCAGAGATGCTGAGATGCAGCTCAGATGTCTATTAATGAGACAGTGAGATCCTCTCTGTCTTACTCCACATCCATCTCAATAAATGGGTCACTCATCCTAACCTCATTTATATCTCACCTGGCTGTTTCTGGCTTGAAATTCCTAAAACAAAGACAACAAACACCTGATTCATTTAAAACACATTTCACATTTTTATGCCTCTTTATTAAAAAAAACTACTGATATTTACTGAAGCACTTCAGAAACACATTCATCCTTTTAGGTCACATGTGTACTTCTGTCAAGGATCAGGTCATCTTTTACACGATAATAAACCCACATCCAACCAGTGAGAGATGATACAAACTCTTATCAGTGATTATTATATTATAATCTCATCACAAAAGTATTTTACGGCCTCTTCACTTCGTGGCTTCATGTTTCTTGGCAGCTCTCAGCTACAGCACATCAAACAAAGCCAATAAACATGTTGTTTTCCAGAAGCACCTGAGAGTGAATGCACAAATGTAATTAAAAGTGGCACATGTTCCTGATGTGCAACCAGTTCTAAACATGTACAGCAGATATCTAACCAAAGTTTTAAGTCCGGTGGTCCCACTTTCACCTGTGCAGCTCCATCAGGAGTTTTTGTCTTCCCCTCCAGTGATAAAGAGGTGAACAGTTTTGTTGGAGTGCAGCATCTGACCTGCTCGCTGCATGCCGGTGATGGCAGCCAGTTTGTGGGCATCGTAGCGGGAGTAGAGAGCAGTGCAGGTCCAGCTGGCCACCTCGCCCTGACCCCCTGCTGCCAGCATGTTACACACTTCGCTGTAGAAGTGGGGGTAGGAGGGCAGTCCGTAAAATATCAGGTTCTGGATGCCTTTGATGGTGTACCTGAGTAAAACAAGGCAGAGATCAGAGATGTTGCAGAATTTGCCAGGAGTAAGGCTTTTTGATACTATTTTACAATACAAATATTATCAAATGTGTCACGGCCATACTGTCCAAAGTATGAAAATATGATGGAAAATCAGAAGAAGAGTAGGGCGCTGAACTACTTTAATGCAGAAACATTACTATTACTATTCTATTGTTATAATTTTTCTGAAATGCTAACTGCGAATAAAAAAAAACAATAATTAATGACCTCAGTGTAGGAAGAGCTGACCTTTCTAGAACTATGTGGTTGATTCTGAAAAGGGGGTACATTGGCAAGGAAAATAATATTTCTTTCAAAAAAAACATTTGGAACCTTTCTTACACATTGTCACACAGAAAGGGAACATCCAAAAAAGTAATTTGCTCTGGATGTCACTAAGATCTATCTCTGCATTCGTCAAACAGAGCTTTTTGGTGTTGATTAAAATTGTCAAACTTATGCTTTCTTGTGTGGTGACAACAATACCAAGACACTGCTGACAGAGAACCTGTTAACATCATTCCTTCTGTAGCTGAAATATTTTCATACAACTGAGGTTGAATTTCATTTTGAACCAAACCTTCCTTTTTAGTGTTTCTCTCCTTTTCCTCACTCAGCTTGCTGCACATGTGGAGCCTTCATGTCAAACCACTCTGTGTCTTATCAATAAAATTTAATTTAAAAAATCTGTGAATCCAGGAACCCTGATATCAGAGTGGAAGATGTTCTGTTAAACATACTTCTCTCGTAGATTAATCATGGAAAATGAGAACCGTACAGGTTTTGTTTTTTTATGAAGAAGCAAAAGAAGTTGTAGTATGATGTGTCTTGCACGTCCTGCGAAGTGACTATTGTGCACAACGCAAAACTAAAGCAGAAATGACACATTGTTCAGCCTTACATCAGTATATAGCCTCTCTCGACAGTCTGCAATCCGAATCAATAACATTATAAAACTAAGACTAAATTACGAATTACATTTTAAATTCTGTCTGTCTCTAAGTGTGGCCCTGCGATGGACTGGCAACCTGTCCAGGGTGTCCCCTGCCTTCGCCTTAAGTCGGCTGGGATAGGCTCCAGCCCCCCCGCGACCCTAATGAGGATTAAGCGGTGTATAGATAATGGATGGATGTATTTCAAATTCTAACTAAATGAACTTAAACTAAATTCAGCACTGTATAAGCCCTACAGAAACAGTGGTGGATTCTATTTACATACCTTCAGAACAAATATGAAGAACTAGTCTTGTGTGAGCTACAGTTTTAGTCAAAATACAAATATATGTCTTTGTTAGAATGAGTACCTACAATCACACATATGCAGTGTTCATTCAGTCACTTGGCACAAACAGGAATGTTTTTTGAGCTCTGAAGCGATCTTATCTGTCTCTTATCGCAAATGGTGATTTGTTAACTGTTACGACGGTGATAAAGATTACTGCCGTCAAGCCTTTCACAAGTTCAGTGTCAAGTGTCTCCGGGAATCATTACCACCACAATGCTCATTATATTCTCTTTTTATTCATTGATGGCCTTGTGCTTAGTCAGGTCAAGTTTTATGAATAAATAGCCAGCACCTCCAGGTAAGGGAACACAGCTGCTGCTGGCTGCTTTTATCTCTACTGAACAAAACACTAAAGTCTCAGAGAACACATGTCACGTCCAGCTACCTGATGGAGCGTTACAAAGAACTGACCTCTTGTAGAAGTGAAAGCGTTCAGTGAAGAGCAGGAACTGTTTTTGTCCTGTCTGAAAGAAGTGTCTGGCTCGAGACACCTCTGATTTGCTGGAATACTCGCAGATGCTGGCAAAGTTCATCTCCTCTTTCTTCATGTAGTTGCGTAACCGGACATAGTCGAAGTAAGATGGGATGTAGATCAGTGTGTGGGACATGACTGAGTCCCTGTACTGAGGCAGCACTTTATCTAAAAAGAACTGAAACCTAAAGACAGAATGGAGAACACAAATTGTAAAACACTGGCAGCAAAGCTTTTGTATGAAAATAGAAATGATTAATAAACCAATAAGGAAACAAATGCCCTGAGAGAGATGCAGTATTACTGTACAGAAAGAGCTCAGGGTCAAGGTACATGCAAGCTCTATGTATATGAAAAAAAACAAGGAGACAGAAAGACAGTGTATGATCTCAACATTTAAGACACTTCATTGGGGCATGCCAAAATTAAGGAGGTAAACAAATGTATTTTTTTAGAGGCCTTACCGAGCATCGTGGTCCATGAAGCTGTCGGAGGAGAACATTTGAAACACATGTGGCAGTTGGACAAGCACCTGGCAGATGGAACCTGTTTTTGGCATGTTCTTTGTGACAATCTGGGACAAAATCCACACAGAGAGAACATTATCAAACAGCACATAACTAAGTTTTGAATCCTGAATTATCCTGTTTTTTTTTTCATCTGGCTAATTTGGTTCTTTAAAAGCAGTATGAGGATAGATTTGTTAATCCTGGATCAAGTTATTTTAAACAAAAATGAGGTCTTACTTAGAAATAAATGAGCAAGGAGTTGAAATCATGACCAGTTATCATTTGACTGCCAGAGTTCTGATCAAGTGACCAACTCTCAGCTGTTTGTGTTTTCTAGATGTAGTTGTTCATTATGTTTTTGTGCAGTCTTCAAATTACCAACATACAATTTAATGTCAAAATTAGCCATGCGTATCTGAAAACGAGTTAATGTGTGGAGTTCCTATGGTCCCACTCTAAAATGTTGTCACGATCCAGCTAATTGTCAACTAGCTACACTTTCACATGTCTGGATATAAGGATTTGTTGCTCTGACAAAAGCTCCAGAAAGCCGCTTCCAGACTAATGTCAAATCATCAACACTGTAATCTGGATAACTTTGCAGGTAAACAACAGACTTTCCTGAACTATCAAGTCGACCACAGTCAACATCTCTTTGTGGCTGCTCCTCTACAGAGCGAGGGTTAATGCCACTTCTGCCTTTCAGTAACGTGTCCAGCTAAACTCACAGTCTGGTGTAATGATGAGTGTACAGTGTAAACAATGACCTGTCCACGGTAGTTGGCACACTGTTTGGTGAGGATGTTGTTGATCTGTGGGTCCTGGATGGAGCTGAACACCAGCGTCTGTCTGTAATGTCTGGCCCAGTTGTTCAGGTTCCACATCCTCACCCTGGAGAAGTCCACTCCATGGGAGTCCAGCGGCTGCAGGTTCATGTGCTTCATCACATGCTGACAAGAGAGGACGATGTGATTTTTAAGAGGACTTTAACTAACCTCAAGTGTAGTAACTTCTAAAAAGGCTGGTTGGGTAAAAAATTATGATTTACAGATTAGAAGTCACAATTGAGTTAGAAAAGTGACTCTTGAAACATACATTTTCCAAAATCTGCCTCTTTGTTGTAACCAAACCTTCACAGTACTTTAGCTCCATTTGGATGAGAGTTACATTGCAGGATAAAGGATAAAATTCCTTGTGGTTCTTGGTAATTTAAATCACAACTCCAAACAGAATTTCAAATGTGGTGAAATTACTGGATATGGACTGTAACACACACAGACACCAGGAACAGCAAACCAAACAGAAAACAAATAAATGTGAAAAAAAATGTAGATGAATCCGCTTGAAAATTACTGAAAAAATAAGCTTTTGAATTAATCTGAATATCATTATATTATGGTTGCCTTCAGTATCAAAGTAAAGACATAAGTACATTACAAAGAAGGCACTTCTATAAGGTAATTCAGCCTACTTCTAATGGCACCAGTTTGACAAGATGTAAACAAACATAGGCTGAAAACAAAATAGAATGGCAGCACCTACCTGTAGGTGAAATTACAACAGCCCTTCACTGAGCTTGCAGAGTGCAGGTTTCAAAAAAGGTTTGTAGTAATACTTCCATCAGATTGGCGAGAACATGTTCAACTTCCAAGGAGCTTCAGTCAAAAGGCAAGTGGACTTCACTTTTAGGTTCTTGAAGATGTTTCACCTCTCATTCAAAAGGGTTTTTCAGTTCTGTGTGTCAAGAACCTAAAAGAGAAGTCCACTTGCTTTTTTTTACTGAAGCTCCTAAGATTACCATGACCTGGATGATTAGGAATCTACATTTTTTTTGTTTTAGCTTTTTCTGCTTTCACACAAGAGCTTAATTTCACATTGAGCTGATAAAAAGTGGGCAAAAAAATCTTCCTACAGAGAAAACTGATAAATGTACCTTTAGATAGAAGGCCGTTGCTCTGGGCATTTCAGGAGGAGCAGCAACAACAGTAAGAAAATTCAGCTGTATGTACTGTTGACTAAGTGTGACAGGAGTAAAATCACTGGCAATGGTAAAATCAGAAGAAAAATAAATATGGTCCAATTTGGGTTTTAATCAAATCTTCATCTAACCGCATTTCCCTACATGTAGAATTCAAGTATACTCTGCCTTATAGACGCCTACAGCAGCTGCTGGACAGCAGATGGCGCCACATCTTTCCAGCAGTAGGAACCAGAAGGTTACACTCTGCAAACATGTCAGACTGAATAGGTGTGTATTCTCACCAGGACATGTTCCCAGTTCTGCATGAGGAAGACATCTGCCTGGTCCACCACCAGCAGCTCGATAGAGGACAGGAAGTCAAAGTCTCTCTTATTTTCTCCTTCTGCTCCCAGCACAGTGCGAAGGCCCAGTGGAGATGCAATGATGATGTCTGATGAGTAGAAGGGAGCATAGAGACGTATGCTGCTTCTTATAATGGAGACACCTGGTGAGGAGAGTACACAATAACTTAGGAGGACAAATTGAGGAGATGTTTAAAAGCAGATCACCTTTTTCAATCTTCCTCAGACTGTACCTATCCTAAAGTGATCATCCACGTTGCCTGAAAAGATGGCGCGGTAATCCTCTGGTCTCTGCAGATTGGATGGCTTCTCATCTGCCTCCTCTCCAAACTCTTCTTTAAACTTCTTCTTGTTGCTGACCATAATTTTCTTTCCTTTGGTCTCCAGCAGGCTGATGAGCGTATGGATGACTTGCAGTGCGCTGCCCCGGAATGGAACGAGAATCAGGACCTGAGAGGATCATTACATCATTACAACAGCTGGACACAGTAAATATTAGGTAGAAAAAAATTGTAATAAGGGATGACGGCAGATAGAGATCAAGTCCATGTGCTGGACTACATAAGTAACTACTGCAGTTTCTGCCTTGCTGGTCATTTATGCATTTCAGATTGTTAATTGCACTGCAGCTGCTGGACCAGTCCACTAAAGGTGAAATGATTTAAAAACTGTGAAAACTGAAATCATGAATATATGTTGATTTTAGGGACAGAATGTTTTTATTAAATTTTCCCACTTAAATAGAGCTTTGCTTTTAGTTCACTGTTGTGCTACATTCCTGCTAATTTATAAGTCATTGCATCAAAATCAGACTTGTCCTTATGCACAGTGAAAACATAAATACTATAAAAACCTTTTATTCAAAATTAAATCAACAAAGCTGCTTTGACTTTCACATTGCGCGTTACAGTGCCGGATGTCTGAGTTGATGCTCAACAAGGATGGGATTTAATGTGGTGACCTTTGCAACATTACTCTTCTCGACCATCATGTATTAACTGTTTTGCAGTGTGTGGTGTTGTTTCAGCTGGTTGAACAGCTTGTTGTCAGCTGTTCTTGCTTATCATCACTTGCCATAAGCCTAAAATATTGCAAACAAGGGATGATGATTTCTTTTGCGGCGTTACCTCTTCCCCTTATGATTTCTGTTTCGCCTGTCTGCTCTCTGTTGTATAACACTTCTCTACTCTGGAGTGCAGCAGCAACATCCAGGAAATGTTTGCTGCCACTGCAGGGGTGTGTGCGCACTGGCATGACAGCTCTCCAAAAGTGAAGCCAAAACATCTGGACAGCTCCCTGGTGGCTGGCTGTTCGTGTAGGAAGTGCTTTGTTTGATTGTTTATTACAGCTGGCCTGCTGTACGTACACAAATATTACTTGAACTTAGTCTGTGTTTTTTTTTGCCACTTCGGCACAGTTAGCATTTGAGATTACAAAGGGGACAATTATAAACTGAAGAAGAATTTTAGTAGATTACCTTAGGCCTGGTCAGTCCTTGGTCTCTGGGTTCGTCCTGAGGCTCAGCTCCAGCTTTAGCCTGAGTTTTCCGCTCTCTTAGCTGGGCGTTGTCAGCTAGGACCTGCGAATTTGCCTTCAGTACGTGGTTGAGCACATGTAGACAGTATGCACTGCGCACATGTGGCCCCTGGTTAACAGGACACATCTCTGGGTAGTACAGATCCTTGTAGGAGCCCATGAGGGCCAGCAACTCCAGCTGGAGAGGGCTGATCTGTTCTGCAACCCCCTTAGGATTGGACGTCTGGTTCAGGTCCTTCCAGCAGGTCTCCAGCAGTTTGTGAAAAACTGGGAGTTTTGTGTCTTTCTGAGAGCCAATGGAGCCGAAGTTCTCAAGGGAACTAGTAGAGAGTAGAGCTCCCAATTTTGGCCACTAAGTCAGAGAAAGGAAAGGACAGAAAATATAATCACAATTTATTTTAATGAAGCTTGCTGGCAAATTTCAAGTTTAGTATATGGATATCGTTAATACCGTAATCTGAGTCTTAGATTTGGCCCCTGATGTTATCTTCTGCACATCCTCTTCACCAAGCTCCGTGTCCAAATGCTGTAAAAACATGTCTGCAGGAATAAAAACAATGAAACACCATGTAAGTGCATCATATTCGCCACAATTTCACATTCAACAGGCAGTTCACTATATTGGGGAAGCAAAATCTCCCCCAAAAGAAGAAAATGAAAGAGAAATTCCTTCCTTCTTTCTTACCATTATTGTCTTTCTGTTGTGCAGAGTTTTCAGCGTCCTCTTGTTCTCCTTCCCCCATAAAGTTGGTCTCCAGACAGAACTCGGACTCATGTTCCTTGTCTACAAACTCTTCATCTCCTGCCTCGTTCTTCTTCTCTGTCTCCTCCTTCGTCTCCTCATTTCCTTCTCCTGGTTCTGTCAGAGCTTCATCTTCACCTACAGGTTCCTCCTCTCCCCCTTCATCTTCATCACCATCCTCGCTTCCATCTCCATCGCTGTCCTCTATATTACAAAGCACAAAGGTATTCAGTCAAATCATAATGTTGGCCTGAAACACAAGTATTCTGGAAATAAACAGCTCACCTTCACCAAGAAGCTCCTCTTCTTCCTCTTCATCATCAGTGCTTTCCTCCTCTTCGCTCTGTGCGTTACTTGTGGCTTGGCTGAGGGTTGAAAGAAGTTTCTGATAGGCTGTTTTCTCCTCTGGTTCTTCCTCTTCTTCTTCCAGCTCATTGGGTTCAGCATCAGATTGTTCTGGGCTTGATGGCTTTAACAAAGATGAGAAGAGGACACCTTAAAATGGAGCAAAACTCAAGCTTATTGATGAGTGGATGGTCCAAAATTAGTTTTAGGTACATTGGATGTCCTATTATCTCTACTAAAAAGACATCCTCAGCATTGTGCAGCAAAACTACTACAATCATAAGTTTTATATTATATAAATTAGAGGTTGTCCAATTATTGGACACAATATTCAGCATTTTTCTGATGATACTCTTATTTTATTTAAAAAAAAAAAAAAGGCAATTCCCAATAAAATAAATTGATTAAAAAATATGCTTTTTCACTGGTACAGCCCCCTCTGTCTGTAGTCACCATTATGTAGTCTTAAGTAATGTCCTGCCAATAGCCCTATCCGATTGGCTACATGTGACAAGGAGCAGCCAATCAACACTGTAGGATAAATATGAAGACGTTATCTTTAATTTAACATATTTAAAACATAAATAAAAGAATTTTCCACATCTTGCATTGATTATGGAGCTGCAAGCTGGCTTGGTGGTTAGCATTGTTGCCTCGCAGCAAGAAGGTCGCCGGTTCACATCCCAGTGAGGACACCTGGGATCTTTGTGCGTGGAGTTTGCATGTTCTCCCTGTGCAGCGTGGGTTCTCTCCGGGTTCTCCGGCTTCCTCCCACA